TCACACGTGAGCCTAAAGAGGACACTTCCTATAGAAATGGGATGGATATATTATAGCATCCATCCATCCATTTTCTGAACGGCTTTATCCTCATAAGGGTCATGGGGCGTGCTGGAGCCTATCCCAGCTGTCTTTGGGCAGTAGGCGGGGGACACCCTGAACCGGTTGCCAGCCAATCGCAGGGCACACAGAGACGAACAGCAATCCGCGCTCACACTCACACCTGGGGAGAATTTTGAGTATTGAATCAGCCTGCAATGCATGTTTTTGGAATGTGGGAGGAAACCGGAGTACCCGGAGAAAACCCACACAGGCACGGGGAGAACATGCAAACTCCACACAGGAAGGCCGGAGCTGGAATCGAACCTGGTACCTCTGCACTGTGAGGTCGATACGCTAACCACTGGAACACCGGGCCACCATATTATAGCATATCTTATATAATAATAATAATAATAATAATAATAATAATAATAATAATATTCAATTACTTAAACTGCATACATGGAATTGATTAATAATAAACACCAATATTATATACCTGTTTGGCTCTTACAAGACAATACAATAGATCTTTATTCAGACACTGGAGCGCTTTTACACACCAGTTGTAGCTGGAACAAAGCCTTTCCTCTAAACGGCCCTATGAAACCAATTTCTCCTATTTGTTTTACTTGAACACACGTGGAATATTAATGAACATTAAGCATGCACTTAAAGCCTTTTCACACACCAGCATGTAGCGAGTCAGTGATGCTAACATTATTGCTGCTGCTGTCTTTGGACTCTCCAGGGTCGCCGAGCTCCTCACATGTGGCCTCACTCAAAAGCAGGAACAACCGTGGCCATAAACAGCTTAATAAGAGTAGAAGAAGCATGCCCTGCAGCAGCTTAATAACCACACCACCAAGAGTGGCCAGACAGGCTATGTCACCTCTGATCTTCAATGCAGGCCTTGCAAACGTTATTATTTTTATTAGTTCTTGATAAACAAAACCAGACATTTTAAACCAGAATATATTTTTGTATGAAGGCACAGGCACATTTCCTAAGGCCTTGCATGTTGCGTTACAGGCAAAACAAAGCAAACAGCTTTACAACACCAGGACACCAGCAGCTATTTTTAGTCTGACACGAGTACACGTGCCAACTTGCATGCGCCAGACTTGTAAATGTGCGTGCAGATGGAAAAAAAAAACCCCTCAGATATTATTCATAAACGCCTCCAAACCGCTTGTGCGTTTACCTGAGAATCTCAACAAGGAATGTCGAATCCTTGTCCTGTGACCTGCAAGCGTTAATATTCATGAGATGGCCATCACACACTTTCGTCTCAGTGGTGCTATCACTTCCAGAATCATGCACATGTGAAAATACTCAAAACACGCGCACGACCATAGAGCTTAGAATTAGTTCTGCCTTTCTGCACCAAGGTCAAACAGCCATCTGCTCCATGCTGATACACACTCACAGACAGTAAGGCATGTATGTACACAACAGTCTAGTCTCTGTTACGTCACTAATAGGTGGTCTATGAACCAAAGTAAATTTTGCAAGTTTTGCACTCCACCAATCCATTTTTGTCCTCATTAGTGTCATTAGCTTGAGCCTATCCCAGCTGACTTTGGAGAGTGTTGCCTGTCGAGAGTCACACTCATAATTCACACCGTTGAACAATTTATAGTCTTGAATGAGCCTCAGTAGCTCATCTTTCAAAAGCTGATGTCATGATGACCCCTAAAGCAACGCACTGAATGGCTCACAGACCCTCCATATAGACATGTAAATGTCCAATTATGCGCCATAGTCTTCCTTCCTCCTTTTAATGCTCGACCTTTTCCCTCACCGTCACTCTGCGGGCTCAGCTGCTGGCTGACGGCTTCCTCCAGGTTACAAATGATGCTCTTCTTGTCCTTGAGGCGCTGACGGTAGGAGGCCCGCAGTGCCTTCATCTGTTGGCGGTGCTGAACCCGGTGCCTCTTGAGCTGGACGCGGTACTTCTCAGCCTGCTGCTGCAGCTGCTGGAAGTGGGAGTACTGCTCCAGGAAGCTCAGCAGGTGGGACATGACGGCCATCAAGGGAGACTCTCCCAACTGAGCACAAGTTTATTTGTTGCACTTTTTTTTTGTTGTGGAAAATGTGCTTATTTGTGTTAAAATATTACCTTTCCTGCTGCCTCCAGTTGCCCCTGCGAGTTCCTTGTCTTGTCAGACTCCTGTTTAAAGGATAAAAATGCTGCCAGAGGAGTGCAAGCTGGGATGTCAAAGCCATCTTGCTCATCTTCATCACTCAGGGACGTGTCATCACTGTCACTACTACTGCCTGGATGTCCACAAATCAGATTAACAGAGAGTTAACATCACACTGCATTCACATCCATCACTATTTGTTTTGAACACTTACTTGAGTCACTAAACCTAGCACAGGCCTTCTTTCTCATTTTGGGGGTGTGGCCATTATTCTCTCTTCTCCCTGTTTCCATGGAAACAGGTCTTGGCTCCTGAGCACAGCAAGATAAATGAGGGTCAGGTGGTAATGATCACAATATTTACACATTGCACCTAGAGCTGTGTGGAATCACTGTTTATATCCAAGAAAGAGAGACCATTTTGACTGTCAGGTTTTTGCTATGACTCATGCACAGTCCTCCCGCAAAATGTTATTATTTGACGAAGGGACGCCCGAGGCTGAATATGATGTTACTCGACGTACATCTGTGGAAGCTCCACATGGTGCCTCCAAGGCTTCCTCCTCCTCCTTCTTGAAGACAGTGTAGAAGATGTAGATTAAAAGGGAGTAGAAGGCGTACATCTCCACACTGTGCAACAGTCCCTGTGAATTGAAATCAAATCATGCAGCAGAGGACATTTCTAGCCACGGTAAAAATGTTACAAGTCACCACATTCCATCATGCAGAACACTCCATCTTCTTTACCTTAACAGATATCGTCTTCTCCTTTGTGGCAATAATTCGACATTGCTGTCATTTGTATTCCCCTTTTCACACTTTATATCGATGACACATCTTTGCCATGCAGCTCCTTTTCGAATGCCAGCAACAGCATCCCAATGCTGTGCAGTCCATCTGACTGTTTTCTCCTCCCCTTTCTCCTCCTCCTCTGCACTCTTGGCCCATTTACAGGCTGCAGCTGCAGCGAGCATGCTCAGTGCAGAGCCTCAGTCAGCTGCGATGGAGGCTTGAGGGATGATTCAAGTGCTCAAAGCTAAAATGATTAGCTCCTTCAAATCACAAACAACCTGCTATTCAAGGCTTGATTTTTTTTTTTTCACTTTTGGGGAGCAATTTTGTAAATCAATTACCGGTACTTATTTTGAGGAGGAACTTTCCAATATTGTAGATCAATTATTATTATTATTATGATGATTATTATTATTATTTTATGTTAGTTAATTCCAGGGAACCAAAGCATGGGTTTTACTAAACAATGAAAATAGATCAATATAATGAATGAACAATCTTTATTACATTTTGTTTTTATTTTTTTCAATTTACATTGTGTATAGCATCTTATTTTGAGCCTTGTATATATTTACTTGCTATCATACCATTGCTAAAATACTGCAAAATGAAGTTGAACACTACTTTAATTCTAAACACATATCAGGTATAAGAAATCATTCAAATGACCAATTGAGTGAATGGATAACAAACATAATTACACACAGGGTATAAAGGGAATGACAAACACCGATAAAAATGATATATGGAGATAAATGTAACAAGATGAATAATAGATATGGTTTGATCATGACTATTATTCAAATTGAGCAGATTAGACTTTAAACGAAATGCAATTCACAACAACTGCAGGGGAAACGTGTCCATCGCGCAGCACTGTGCTGCCAATTTCAGTTATTTCCTATGGGAAAAATAGAACACGAGGATGACAGAATCCCAGACAGACTTATGTTTGACCTCATAGGGTCTACTTGTATTGTTGAGTATATTAAGCCACCTTTTATTCCCCTTTAAAACCATTGAACTACAACCACACCAGAAAGTCTCAGAGAGCATGATTTAATATACAATGTCTATGGTGCAAACAGACAAACCATGAGGGAACAGGACAAGGACGTCAGGCCCATGAAGACAGTGTGTGTATTTGCTGAGAGCCTGTCACAGCAGCAGGGAGGTGCCACTCAGGAGAATACATGCTGTGTTGAGGTCTTCACTGAGTCAAAGAAAGTGGAACGCAAGCAGTGATGGAGCCAGAACCTCTCTGGAACTCTCCGGAGCGAGGCGAGGCGTGTGCTTGAGGCAGGCAAAAGAGCATCAGTCATGCAGAGTCCAAACAGGAAGAAGCCAATTGAGGGAGCTCTGAGTTTCTACAGAAGCAACAGAAAAGAGAGTGAAAACATTGCATCCACTCTCATTTATGTCATAGGCATTAACAATTAAATCGATTATACTTGATACATAATTTATTCAAATGGACTACATATTTTAAATAGTTTATTTAAAGAGAAAAGAGCTGAGGAAAATAAATTAATTCGAAGAAAAAATAATTTGTGATTTTAACAAAAGGGACGTGTGTTTGGAAAAAAAGCTAAATCTAGAACATAGCATAAAAATCGGATAATATTTTAGAGAATCCTGTGGTTCAAGCAAAATGTGATCGAAACAAGGCGAATTGAGCGAAACAGTGGCACGTTTGTTTTGGCACGTGACACACCCAGACGTCAACAGTGCGCAGGCGCAGAATTGATGCGTTCATATTTCTAGTAAATTCACATGGCTGCGTCATTTGGCGTAACCGGGAGTTGAAAGGAAATCATGTTTTAGCTGCTATCTTTCGGCTACTTAAGTAATATTTAAGTATTAATATATTGTCAGTTCTTACTAGAATTGTGGACACACGTCCGTTGAACTTCATTTACAACTTGACGTTGATCACTTCCTCTACTAGTCTCATATGCTGAGACTTTTCAATTTCGCTGTAATTTAGCTATATAAGACATGCATTTATTTAAAGACGTATTCGAAAATAATACTCCCTTTTGACTTGAATTGAACGGAAGAGTCGCGTTTTCGGTTATCTTGTAAGCAGCAAGTTTTCCGAAAAAAATGGCGCCGTTGACTTTGGTGGCTTTAACTGAAGAATGGATAATGAACAAATTGGGATTAAGTCATCAACGCCTCGGTAACATTTCTTGATATTTACCATAATAATAAACATTAATGTGTAATGAAGATTTCAAAGTCAGTCTATGAAAAATGTTGCCTTGTTAATTGTGGCTTTTCTAACAAAGTTGCTGTTAATCTGTCAGGAGGATGTAAACGATTAAATTGAGTTACTGTGGAGAAAAAAAAAATCCTACTCTATTTTCTAAACAGGGGATGTTCGTTCACTGAGTCTCCCTGGGACATACAATCAGAAAATCGGATACCTGGGAAATGGACTGGCCAACTTTGAACGTCTAAAATCTCTGAATCTTTCGCATAATTCAATAGTCTCTGTTGAGGTAGGCTGGAGTGTTTCTGATACTGTTTTTTTTTAATGGCGTTGAATTGCTGTCTTTAATGTGTTTAATGTTCCTTGTTATACCTCAGGGTCTGCAACATTTGAAACATTTACAGATCCTAAATCTCTACTATAATTGCATACCTTCCCTGGAAGAGGTAAAGGTCCTCTTTGAGTTGCCGGTTTTGAGAGACCTTGATCTGAGACTCAATCCTCTGGGCAAGACTGACCCGAATTACCGACCTTACGTCGTGCATGCCATGGCCGGCCTGCGCAAGTTAGGTAAGGAATCAACCGGACTGCTAATTCCAGATATGTTTTGAGTATTTCTGTGGACTTCTTTGCTTTCAGACGGATGTCTGGTCAAAGATGCTGAGCGCAAGTCGGCTAAAAGGCAGTATTCACAGCAAAGGTACAATGCAATCTTTAAAGTAAAAACGCAATTTCTGGTGTTTGTGGTGGCCCTTTAGAGTCAGCCAGGCCGTCCATATCTACATTTACAACATAAATGCAAATCTTTCTGTCTGACAGAGGTGTCAAATCCAGATCCAGAAAGTAAGACTTGCCTCAGTTTGTATTAGACACAAGAGCTCGTTTGCCTGTGGGTTGAGTAGAAGCATCTGTACTTATTTGCATTCAAGCCGTCATTATATTAACATTAACACAGCTGTAGCACTTTCTGTTCTTTTATTATTGTCGAATTATTGCTGCTTTTGGCCTGTTATACTGAACAGCCAGGACAAAAGCCGTGTATACCATTTCGGGGAAAAACATTGCTGACGATTATAAGGACCCATGATAGCAGACTTCAGAAATTGTGTTTTCTATTCACAGCATTAAAGTGGTGGAGTGCATAAAAGTGAGCTTTTTTTCATGGGGCACCTAAATTCCTGACAGTACTCCTGTTACCGCTTTCATTAATCATCTTATTTGCTCACAATTTTCAGAAATCGTAATAACCGACAAGCCTTAGTGGAGCGCCTCAGCAGGAAGCTCTCCCTATTGAATGACACTGATGGTGTTGAGTTGAACCACACTGGCGCCAATCACAGAAGCGGCAGTTACTCAAATGCAGAATTGCAGTCTTCTAATCAACAGCCGGGTGAGATAGAATTCCTCTAGTTTTTTCCCATTTAAAAGCATGCAGTTATATTTTGACGTCTTTCTGAGAGAAATGATAGAGTTTCACACATCTCTTTAGTTCCAGGTGATTGAAGTTTTATTGAGAAAGGCCAGCCCCCACCTTTTCCTGTTTTTGTTGCGGCGTATGGTTGAGGCCTTCATGCCAATATCATTGAGGATTCACAATCTGATCATTTTAAGAGTCATGTGTCTTTTATTTTATTTCAAAGTTTTGTACTTGACAGAAAGTCTGAATAGAATCTATGAAACAAAAATGTTCTTCCATTGATCCTCTGTTGAATTTAGTTACGTAATTCCAGCACTAGGTGGCAACAGAGGGCCGCTACAAAACAGTTTTCAAAGGTCCAGCGTGATATGAGTGATTGTAGTTTAGCATGCATTTGTTTGTTTATTTGGGGCGTTAGGTCAGTCCAGTATTGACATCAGACTTCCAAATTCGTAACTGCGGACTAAAAAAAAAATGGCAGCTGGTTGTTGGAGAGATGGTAGTCTGCTTCCTGAGTGAGATCACTATTCAGCAAGGCACAGAGCCGATGGTTCGTACTGAAGATAAATGAATCATTGTTTAAAATTCCATTTGTAAATAAATAGATAATAGTTAGTCCTATCATCTATCAAGTGCTATCATCTCCCACCATTTTACAAGTAACTGAAATCCAGTACATTTTGACCCAAATCCTGGAAGTGTTGGTAGTAAATGTGTTGTGTTGTAACATTTTGAAGCTCAAGAGCACCAATATCCCAGTTCCCACCATTCTGGCTCCAACCCCGTTTTGTATCCTTCATGGGTGACTGAAGTTACTGGCACACCGGCACAAGCAGAAAACAAGCAGCAGGTAGAATATCTGCGAGATTACCGGCTGTGAAGTTTTTCTGTGACTGCTTGGTGCCACATTCATGTGCCATCAGCTAATCTAACTACTCCTTCCAGGAGAGTTACAGGAAGCCCTTGGGAGAACTGCTCGACCTCTTGGACAAACATTGGGTGGGAGAGAGAACTCTGCAACTTAACACCAACTTCCTGAGTGAGTTCGCTTTGGGGATTTTATCTAATTGCAGGAATTTGAGATTAAAAAAAGAAAAAAAATCTTCACATTCTTTCCCTTTTCTGGATCCAGCTCAGATTGTCCAGATTCTCTCTATGATGGAAAACCGTATCTATAATCAGGATGCTGAGATAAAGACCTTAAAGGAGGAAGTGGGAGCGTTGTGTCTTTTTGCAGCTACGCAAGAACGACAACACAGAGCTGATGTGAACAAATTCACCGCTGATCTGGTGATGACACACACAGAATTTACGTTGAAAACGTTTCATGGGAATTTATGCAATTTACATAACACAACTTTTGAAAACCATATGACATCTAGATTGGAACGGGCAGATGACTTTGCACTCACTTTGCATCCACAACATGCCACTTAGTCAAGGGCATCTGAGGACACACCCCCTGGATACAGTTTGCACCGTTCACATCACAGATAATTTTCTAGAAAACCTCTGATACCACATTTGATTACATCTCTTACTAATAGTTTGTAATATAAATTACTTTATTCAAAGTAATTCATGGGGACATTCAAATTAAACGTACTGTCGCGACAGTACAAGAAAGCAAGTCATGTGCTGCACAGACCATATAGCACTTACTCACTTATTACTCTTGTCCCATTTTATCCCTTCATCATCATGAACAGTATTATGCCCCCAAGATCACCAGTAGAATAAAATGTCAAATTATTTTCTAATATAGTAGACTAGAGTATAAATTACAATATCGATATACAGTACTACAATGAAAACAGTTATACAAAGCGACGGGAAAAGGCAGAAATAAAATCAGAAAAAAAATTATATGATAGGACAACTTGAGTGTCTTCTGAGTCCGATGAGTATTTGTCCCAACTAACCCAGGGAGAGCTCAACGTGCAGCTGAGGGTTGCCTTGGAGGAGAACGTCGCCCTCCGTAAAGAGTTGCTCACATCAGAACGCATGTATCGCCAGTATATGACAGAGCACCCGCCCACTTCTCACAATATCGGTCAGTGGCGACGCCACTTCATATTTATTTCAGGAAATGTTATGGCGATAAACTGATATATGTCATATTTGCGTGAACAGAGGCTCAGAGAAGGGTGGAGGAGGTGAAGGAGGAGTTGGAAGAGCTGAGGAGAAGAGTGAAGCAGGCTCAGAGCGCCAATGAACCTCCTCAGGTATCTTCCTCCATTTTAGCTTTGGTGATAAAATGACATGACTTCATACATACTCACTTTTGTTTGTGTGACTTGTTCGGTCACTCACTACGGGTCTGACTGGAAATGTGCAGGAATGTGATTAAGGAGATTCCGGCAGGTATGAAGCAGCAATTGCAGGTGCTGTTTGAGTGCGAGTTAAATGTGGAGTTTTGGTTTATTTTCTTCTCTGATATGTTTGCTTTAAGATGCTCGAATCGTTGAGCTATTCGTTATTTGGAAAAAATGTCGAAGGCAGTGTTTATTTGAAGTTAACTGAGAAAGATAATTTATTAAAGGATGTTTGTGTATAAGTGTGTCAGACCGCTGTCATTTTAACAAATGATTTGGGAGGGAAATGTTTGGGACAACTGGATCAGCATCAAGGTTGTGTCTCCTCTTAACCTCGGTTGTTTTTCACTTTTGTAGGTCAGAGCCGATGGGAGTCTCAACAACACTGCAGCACAATGAATGCATCAAGATTGCGGCTGTGCTGTGAGTGTTTTTTGTTTGTTTTTTTTTAAATACACATTACCTCTGACTTGAGGTATCAGGCAAGCATGCACACACACTTAGCCGAATAGACGAACTTTTTCTTTTTCATAGGCCCAAACAAGCTGTAACATGACACTTTCACTTTCACAGCAGAGGTGTTTGGTGGGCCATCTTTTTTATTTTCAATAATGCACTACAAATCATGAACACACAATTAAGAGGTCTAAAGAACAAGTACATAGATCCACTGCATGCACCGGAGACACGAGAGCACATTAAAATGTTATGGAAAAAAAAAAAAAAAAGAATACACACATATTGTTCCTCCACATTAAAGGTGCACAGTATTTGGCATTAAGCACAGGGAGCTTACTCGAGCGACTCCAGCAGACAAAATAATCACACTGATAGCTGCTATAGTTTTGTGGCTGCGACTGCAGGCAAGTGTGACAACAAACTTTTTGTTAAAAAAATCTTTTACAAAAGTATACTGTTTGGATTTTTTTTCCCTTTTACATCAGACAGTATTTAAGGATATAACTGGCATTCCCTGCTTGACTTCAGTTAAATTTGTGCCTCGGATGACAGTACCACACGTTAAAGGTTGTCCGGATAACAAATATAACAGCATTTGGTGTCAGCCAACTTTGTACATGTACATATTCTATAGATTTCAAGCAATAACACCGTTTCATCATCACTTTTCATTACTTACGATTTCTAAGCAAGAAAACAACTGTCCAGTAGTCTGTCCTTACAGCAGGCACAGTAGATCAAATACAACATAGTCCTACTATCATTTCTGTGCTTCCCAATCAAATGTAATATACATAATAACATGCACAAGGTACAGAAACACAGGAAGGAATATTAAGCCAGTGGCAGAAATCAAACAAGTGGCTACAGTTAGATTATACACAATTGAAACACAAATATATCGGAGGTTCTGTGCATGAACGGGGGGGAATAATATCCAATGTCAAATGTTAAAAATACAATCTTGCACGACTGCACTCCCGCCCGCTCAATTGGCAGGATTTAACTGTTTAAAATTAGATGCAAAATTGTTTTAATGGTGTGATGGGAGAGAAAATAGGGGCATCCCAGGAACTATATTTGGGAGGTGCTGAGCTAAAGGCATATTCATAAAATGACCTTATAAAACAAAGAATATGAACAGCAGAGTTTATCCACAGTTGACAATTGGGGATAGTAGACACAAGTCAGAATATTTAATAAACATGTACAAAGGTGTGCCAATTATCTGGAACACTGTGCCAATTAAAATCTTAAAGTGGATGTAGAAAGTTTTTTTTTCCCTGCAAAAAAAGTGCAATGTTATTACATTAAAAACCCTTGTACCTTTTTTTTGTTGTTTTTGTTGGCTTCCATTGTTCATTGTGCTTGATATTCTAAGGCCCGATCAAAACAACAAAACTTCGTTATCATCATCGTCATCATCATTGGCGTTCTCCTCTTGGCAGGAACTCACTATTAGATAGGAATGTACCAGCTGGTGAAGACTTTGTAAAAATAGATGTAAACAATTTTCCAGTTCTCACACTTTCACAAAGAGAGGAACTCTCTCCGCAACCACATGCACACACAAAATGACTGGGTGGGAAAATATATGACAACCTGTTTTGTTTTGTTTGTTTGTTTGTTTTAAGTACTCTTTTCAAAGAAAGTGATCCAAGCTGTCGACCCATGTTTTCTCTGCACCGCTCACATGGGTTTGGCCATGGGGGGTTTGGTGACCTTCTTTTCGTAGGACCCTTGATGCTTGTATCCTGAGACGTATCCCGAAGTGTCGACCAGGTCTACTCGTCCCGCCTTACCCTTCCCGCGTCCCGTGTTGTCAAAGCGCTCCTTGTGCGACCCGGTGAACTTGGTTGTGTCTGTCAGTCGGTTGACGGTCGGGGAAGCGACGGCTCTCTGCAAGGGAGTTTGCGGGATATTAAAGCCACACCCCGCAAAAGTCAGTTGAGGATTTGGTTTTTACAAGAACTCTTACCGTGACCCCGGCGATCACGGGCGTCTTCCCCTCAATCAGCTTGTATACTTCAGCCTCGGCCTCCTCGCCAGTCTTCTCTTTGTACTTCTTCCTGGCAAGCTCTCCTAGAGCAATCTTGAACTCGTCATATGTGATGGTGCGACAGGATTTCTTCCTGAAACAGATGATTTGTTACCGGGAAGCTCAGCCAACTCTAAAATAAAAAGACATAAGTGTCATTTCAAACTCAGGTGACAGTTTTACCCTTAAAAATAAATGTGTTGCAGATTATTTGACTTTGAGAAAATACACCAGAGGTGTAGTGTATCTGTAACCTGTAATACAAACAAACATTGCATATCTCATAGTTATACGATCTTGCATATCTCATTATTATGAAATACGCAATATTTACTAGCGTGAACTTTTTAATAGTCTTTCAGCAACATACATATGCGGTGAATATGCTCTTTAACTTCTGATGACAACCCAGGATAAAACTTAAGTCCCCCTCAAGATACAAAGAGTGGATGTATCACATCCATGTGGGTCCTTGAAACCAAGCACTACTTACATATTAGCGAGGGCTTTGGTGCCATCTAGTGACATCTGTGTGTGTTACATAAAGAGTCCCAAAATATACCAACATTCTGCAAATAGGTGAGTTTTTTTTCCAGTGAATAGCTGAGGATAAGTTTCACAAAGTGAGCGGCTTCATGAAAAGAGCACTGTGATTAGGAGGGGGTTCACTGTCTTATTTTATTATTAAGTGATAAATGCACAGTAACAATATCGCGCATACAGTCTGAAGGACAACCACATTATGTTGGGCTAATGTGAGGCGCTTATGAACTTGATTGTCAAATCATATTACCAGATAGCTCCAATTTCATCCCTGCGCTGACCTCAGTCTTTTGTGGGAATCCTTTATATGCATGGTACATTGAGATTCCTATAATATGCTGTAATGATTAGTTTTATATTCCTGACTTTGTTTCTTTCTTTGGAAATTTGGCTCGACATCAGCATGCGTGTGCCATTTGTGACGAACGAAGCTTTAACTTGTGATGGACTGCTTCATGTGGAACCAAATGCATTGACATTTATAAGGTCAACTTGTGACAGCTGGCAATAAGTCAGATCTTTCTCACTCATGCTCCATCTGAGAGTACTTCACTTGTCTAGTTGGCCACGTCCCCCTTTGACTTCCACATAGTAACAAACACAAACATTCATCGCTGTGGAGATAGATCAACCAAACAACAGCGCATGAAGCTCTGCCGTCTCCCAAGGCAACCTGCCGTCATAGCAACAAGGCACGGTAAACAGGGGTGTTAAGGTTTATCATTATTTCTTCTCCCCCCATTGACCTGCTCTGTTTAGGCACTCCATCAGTGTTGAATATTTTTGCGCTCCATGCTCGGAATCATTCCCATGCTGTCTAATGTCAGACGGGAAGCTGAACTTCCACTGCCGTTTCTGTCTGGGGAAGACAAATATGTGTCCCCATCAGATTGAGTCATACACGCTTTACTGTAAGACCTCAAATATCCAAATCGTTAATATTTGTAAATAAACAGCAAATCAGCGTTTAAGGAGGTGACAGAGAAGAAGGATAAAGGTTGCACATGGAATGGAACATTATTTCACCTTGGAAAACTGCTGCTGACCTGTTATAATTTACATACTTGAACCATCTGCTTGCTGGACCACGAACCAAAGACGGAAGACTGTGTTTAATCCACAGCTTCCAATAATGTTCACTAATAGGGAACCACGGCATGGAAAATAAAGCCACCATGCAACCATGCCAGTTATTAATTTGTCTACGCCAGATTTCTACAGCCGTCATAGTTTATGTTGAGGCCTCTGGGCTCTCAACACTCCAAACCTTAGGAAATCACTCAGCCATACCCTGTTTAGCCAGTGCTCATTAATTTGAATGTACTTGTGCATGCAACGGGCCTTGACGCTGATTAAAGGGAAATGCATGGATGACTTAAACTCTTCAGTCATGCCTGGAGCTAGTCAGTTCATGAATGCCAGCAACCCCCCGTCTGGACCCCGCTCCACTTGACACAGATGCTACTGTACTGACCTCAAAGCTTTTGGACACACGTCTGGTCTGTTGTCATGATAATGTGGCATTCACCAAATTGCCAACCTTGGATATTTTTCCAGCCCGTATCATCCCCCATTCCTTTTCTGTGGCGTCGAAAGAACCTGTTTCCATGGCTTTGCTAATGTGAACTGAGTATGTTCAATTAGCTCATGATAACAAGCTGCACCTTATTGTAAGTGCTTTTTCAGATTAGACGGAGAATTATCGAATCTGGTACAAAACAATGCTTTCAGCACGTATAATTTTCTTAGCCAACATCAAACGCTTTTCTTAAATAAGTAAGATCCTCATCAACCCAGAACTCACTCTGTCGCTCGATTTACAATTTATATTTGATATTGTGTTGCTATCCATGGAGGTAAATACAAGTTAATGAGCCTAATTTGACAAAGTTAGGAGAAGAAAGTACAGATGTCGTTTTCAAATGGAGTGGTAAAAAAATAAATACATTAAAAAGCACAGATACCTGGAAAATCTGATTCTGTAAAGTGAGTATTACTTTACTAATGAAAGCATAGTAGAAGATTGTGACGACAGCCTAAAAACCATAAATAAAAATTATTGCAACTCGTCTGCTTCTCAGCGCAACATAGCCAAGTCAACAATTGAACATAATGTACATGGAAACAGAAAAGTAATTTCTGTTATGCCCTGTGGGAAATTTCGATTTTAGAAATTGTATGTTGAAATGAATAATTTGATGGAGACATTTTAGTCTGAATTTTAATAAATTGGAAGCCGATGCAGCATCCTGGATACAATAACGGTCGACCAAAGTTCCACTGTATGTAGAGATTGTCCTATTGCACCTTAACGCTTGCAAGAGTATCGCTCGGTACGTAAGAGCAACATAGAGTGTTTAAACCACAACTTGTGGGTTTTTTGCAGTGATGAGCATCAATATTCTACAACTTAATTGCGAAGGATCCGTTTATTGCCTCCTTCCTGTTCATGCCACAAATCCAAAATTCTGCAAGCTGCTGATTATAGTCCAGATTGCCATGGCAACCGTCACAATTAACACAAGTCTGGCCGTGTAAGCGCAAAATCCACTAAATCAGCGTGACAATTCCTATTCCGTGGCCTTTTCCACTCCTGCCGCAACACATGATGAAGAGTTACTTCCAAACACACTCTCCTGTTTCCTTACTCACATCGTTTATCTTGGTTACTATCGTTTGATTTGACGGTACATATTTGCAGGAACAAGTTGTGATACGTCCAACTACCTAGCACACTTTGCTCGGTCAGTAAATAAAACATTTCCCTCTTTAGTGCAATTGAGGTCACAGTTTATTATTAGAGTCTAGTGCACTTGAATCAAGCATCAAAGGATGAGCCAATCTGGCCCGGGGAGGTTCAGGAGGAGCCATTCATCCAGATCTTTTGTTCTGGTTTCTGATAGCAGCTTGGCTTAGTGACATGTTCAAAACCCAACCAAACATATCTCATTTCTTTGTGTTTACAGTTAGACGTCAAACCGTGGATCAGTTTTGCTCTAAAAGGCTGTTGCATGTTTTATCACATCAAAATGTGTTTTTCATCTCCCCTTCAATGTTCCTGTAATTATAACCCAGGCAATGTTATTGCCACTTCATTGGACTTTGGGGCACGCGTGAGAGTTCAGTGACTAAGTCTTAAGTCATCGCTGCTTCTGCTAGTAATATCGAAGCAGTCCTGTCATGGCACATCTGTGGTGAACCGCATTCATCCAAATACATCAGTCCCTGAGTCATGTCTGGATCGACTGCTTCTGATGTGACTTGGACGCATCTCTTATGTTTAGGGTGGCCCAGACTGATACCAGGTATCAGTATTGGGTCGATAACAGCCTTATTTTAATGTAGTGGGTATTAGGAAGGCTGCCGATACTCGCCACCGATACTTCACGCAAACAAATCTGAGATTGAGTAAATCCTCCTCGGCAGCAGTAGGTACACTACTGTGGCGGTTTGACACATTGGCGAATCAATATCTGCATCAGAAACAAAGGTGTTCACAGTTTTTGTCATTGTGTTAAATGAAAATGTATGTATCACAAGTACCAGAGGTATCGGTATTCGGTATCGGTGAGTACTCAAAGAAAGAATCCCCGTACTGGTATCGGTCTGAAAAAAAAGTGGCATTGAACATCCTGAGTTATGTTTATGGTAGAAGAAGTCTGCTTTCTTACTTGACTTTGGAGAAGACAATGTCGACATCGGTGAGGGTGACGGTCTTGCCGTCGATCACGCCGCAGTCCTTGCAGAGCTTGGACCAATTCTTCCCGTGCATGTCTTTGCCGGTAGCGCGCGTGTCGCCATGAATGGCGAATCGCCGAAACGATTCCTCTAGAGCTGTCAACTCCACCGGTGTGGATGAGCCCACACCTCCTTCGCTGGTCCCATTTGAGTCAGTAGAGAGCCTTTTGGAGGTACGGTCTCTTGAGTGTTCACTATGTGGCCTCAATTGGGCCGAGCTGAAGTTGGTATTCTTGGCTGTCTGGACCTTAAAGTCATCTAGTCTGTCTCTGAGAAGAAAAAAAAACGTTTGTCTGACCATCAGTGTGGGGTATGACAAATAAACTGATAGTAAGATCATACAAATGCAGTGACTGAAGGTTTTTTTTTTGTTTTCTCCCACACAATCCAGGAGGTAGACAACATGTTGGAAGGCAGGTACTACACATTACAATACATGATTTTGTTTGTTAGTGCAAGTAGCCCCAGAAAAATCAGCCCGGAGAGGATCCAAGTAGTATACAAGCAGACAAACTCTTCTGAAGACAAAAAAAAAAAAAAAGATTTTGGCCAATGTGCTAGTGATCCCTGTCAGTGAAGTGATGCAAGCAGGATTTAATTCTACCAAATTAAAGTGCACTGTGATTGGACTTGTGTATTTGTTGTGGTCTTATGGTATTTTACAGGGATGAATGTCCTATTGGATTACAAGCATTGACTGACGTGACCGCTAATGAACATGTAGCTTCTCAAACTTACTTCTGGTCTGCCATGCTTGTGCAGGAATTAGCTTCCCTCTGTGCAGTGCTTGGATGAGCTGACGTGTGTTTTCTCTTTGTGCTGTGGAAAAGATGAAAATGGAGGTGCATACTGTGAGATGATGTGCCCACACATGAATGCAATAGAAAATAGAAAGACAGTACCAGTAGGTCTTTTCTCTCATGCGTTTCCAGTAGTAAACGTCATTTAATTCCCCTCATGCCATGAACAGAGTATTGAGCCAAATTCATGCATACATCTATTATGTAGACATGTTTTTAGCGCTATCCTTACAAAGGTTGCTCGACAGATCTTATTGCAAAGACTGAAGACACAGCACGACTCGTAAACTAATGGGATGGTCCAACCAAAAAATATCACCGACCTACAGTGCATTGTGACCAAAATGGTCACATACTGGGTTGGGATATTTCTTTAAATCACTATGGAATGGTTTCTTAAGTAATTTTAGGTAGCTGATAAGATCCTTGACCATATAAGGACTACTTGTTTGAATAAGGAGAATACAGCACAGTACACCATAAAATATTGTATCAGTCCCTAGATACCATACAAATATGCACCTCGTTGCCGTGTTAAAACATCTTAGCATTCACGCAATAGGGTGTCGAAAAATAGTGGCGAACAAACTGAGGAAAATTGAACATGACAGACTGACTACAAATATTCACAAAATGTCTCTACACACTGAGAGTAGCAGCACATTCACCTCTACCTAACCTCCCACTTGAAAACAAAAAACAAAAAACTAACATTGCATCTAAAATCCATAACGTAAAAAGTAGAAAAATGATATACTGTACCTAAAAGTAAAATACAGTAAAATGCCATCCGTCCCAAACTCAATCCACTGGTCCTGTATGCTCACCTTTGAGCGTTTCCCATAATTAACGAGGCATCCTTAAAGAGCGTGCGTAGCTCTGGCGAAGAAGACACTAAGAGTAGCTACCAGTTTAAATCGATACCGTACGAAATGTTCAGGCGCTTGCGAGAAGTCCGAACCGCTTTTGTCCACGTGACTCATGAAGCTCTAACTTAACCCCCCGCCCCCAACAAGATCACATGTAAAGTTCAGCCTATTGTCTCCATCAGCAGCCTATGGACACTCAACACTTAACCTTGTATAGATGTTAATGGGTACCAAAGCGAAGAGTGACACAGCATTAAAAGAAAATATAAATGGCTGAATAATATGTCTTTCAGGGATGCAAACACTGGGAGCCCTTTGTCTAATTCGAGGGCCCTCTCTCTGCACGACCCTCGCACATTTATTCACACACACATGGCGACATCGTAGACTCTCACTATTGACGCAAGGCACTTTGTCATCGAGGACTCGGGCCAACACCAGAGTTGAGTCTAGACAAAATCCTATTCTTTATTTCATCCCTCTGACATGTATTTTATGTTCATCTCTCATCGTTCCATTTTCTACCTTTTGAATGGGTGCTTTTGTTGAACTCAACAGTACATTGGTATGTGATTTTACAAGTGTGTTTTGGTTAGTTGATATCAACAGATCATTTTCCATGCTGATATGTTTTGAGCCTCGATTCCCCAAAGAACGTGTAGAGAATTTTAGCCTTTTCATAAACATAAACAGCTTCTTTGCTTTTCTGAGATAACTTTTTTAAAGGGCACTCCCATCAAAGGAATCTTGAACTTCGTCAAATGAAAGTCAATTCTTCTTTTTGTCGGTTTGGAGTAAAAGACAAACGAAAGACACAATTTAGCTCCAGTTTTAGTTCCATGTTTTAAACGCGACTATTTTGTAGATGCTTTTCAGACTAAAGCGGCTTTTTTTTTTTTTTTTAGTAAGATGTGTTTAATTTTTATATATTTCAAATTTGGATTATCTTTACTTGATCAAAATTATGACTTTCAAATCTTGATCATGATTCTCAAAGTAATGGATCAAAAGATTAATATGTCATTAAAGTTGCCTAAATTATCAATGATTAGTTGATTAAATGTGAATGGCAAGTTAACACAAATGGAAAAAGAAACACCTCATCATAATACCTTGTTTTAACGCTGCAAATGTGCTACGTTTAAAAAATTTACCCGCTTGGAACGTTTTATGTCAAATGAAACTCGAGACTAATAGTTGATATTTGTTTACGATAAATTGTGTCACTTGTGATTTATGCTAGCAACAAATACTCCAAACATTTGAATCCCCTTATAGGCTTTATCTTCCCCAAATATGAGAATCAATAGGCAGAATCTTCTCTTCTCCTCCGATTTATAGTCAGTAGTATCAAGTGTCCAAGTCAAGAAGACAACACACCTCCTCGCACCATATGCTGACCAATGCAGAGAAGTAGTAAAAATATTACAATGACAGCTCAGATGTTAAAGCAACTGTATCAGTGTTATAGCTTTAATATGGAAACAAGCATCATTTTGTTGTTTTTCCAACCCTTCTAAGCTAGGCGGAGGGCAGCTCTCTGTGAGCGTATTGCAGCATCCTTGCATCCATTCGCCTTTTGGCAACATGCTCCACGCATGAGTGCTTCAACCATAAGTTGACCCAATTTTTAACTGCATCTATTTGGAGCTACAATACGCCATCACGGTTGGAAACATTCTATTCATGCTCAGGATAGGAGATCAGCCAGCGCAAGGTGCGAGCTGCCAAAAAATGTGCTTGTTTGGCAGATGGTGTGACACATAAAATGATGACATTGTTGACGGTGACGGGGGCGTGGAGGGAAGAGAGTGTTAATGTTACACGACATCATGTCAGCGTATCACAGCGAACTCCATCTGTGCTTTTTCCCAATCCTTGCTTGGCAGAGGCTTTTGATTGGGACCGATCCGTCATGAAGTAGGGATCATCGCCTTTGCAGTCAAACCCTGCCCGCATTCACCACACGCAATTGATTCCAGGATGCTGATTGATGCCAATGTTTTTTCCTTTGTAATGTAAACAAGACTGAAATACTCAGTTTCAGGGTCAACTGTCTTAACTTTGGATGTGTGAAGCGTAACTTTGAAAACAGGTGACTGCACGCATGGTGATGCTCGAGATGCTTTTTTGGATGAATGTATGGAAATTCCGATAAGGAAGCAGCTTTCGTCTTTTGGACCCTGCATCACATAAACTGCTGAATGAGAACACGCCAAAAAGTTCATCCTTACTCACTGAACTGAGCTCACGTGAAATTTGAATAACAAAGAAGATCGTTGCGACTGGAAGCAAAATTTCCCCCAAAATTTGGCTGAGTCCCAAATTTCATGGTGCCCTGTTTGAATTTGACGATTGCTTTCCAACCAAAATAGGGCTGAACAATTAATGGACTTTGCAGTTTAGGAGAGCCCAATTTTATATAGAGAGAGATTGTTTGTTGTTTTTTTAGTGAATCCCTAAAAGACGGCGAATCAAAAGTGTTTTGCAAGTTCCCAACTCGAATACTGAAGTAGAAAATGTCTTTCATATTAATCCAACATTCATTTGCCTTTATTTTAGCGGAAGCTTGTAGGCGTCCTCATTATGTGTATAACACCAAAACATTTTTGTAAATTAAATTCTTGTTTCTTCAAGTACAGATTAATCTATTGCTTGGTTGTTAAAATAATTGCAATTTTGAGAGGGGGCAAAAAAAAAATCGCAATTTGATTATTTCTCAAACTTGTTCAACCCTAAATCAAAAGCCTTCCCAAGTTCAATGTCAGTGTAATTATAAGGAGTTTATTAAATGTGTGGCGTCTGAAAAGACATCTAAATACGTCTTTGGGAGTGAATGAGTTAAGCAATAGATAGATTGCTATATCTATATTTAAAAAATGCATTTATTTTTTTATATGACATGAGCAATGCTTCAAGATTGTACTACTTAATGACACTGGAATCAGCTCGAGGAGATACTGACTGTATTTGGTTTTCGTCACTGTCCCCCTCCCGCCCTCTTAAAAGAAACATCAGAATGATATCATCACTGTGTAAAACAGACCCGTGGTCACCACTACCATACACTCTCCATCAGTCTTCGCCTCCCTGCGACTGCTCTGAATCACACATGTTGGCGTGCACCGAGCTGTAGAGTAACAAGATGCTTAGAGCCAGCCGCAGCGGTTATTGTTGGCAGCAGCAGTGAGCTCAATACAGACTGTGTGAAGAAAGCGTGACGCCATAGATGTCAACGGGAAAGGCCAAGTAGTAATTCTTTGGCTATAGCAGGGATGGCCAATTTAAATGCTGAAGAGGACCAGAGTTTATCATCATTGCTACTGGGGGAGCCAGATAGGACCACACACTTCCGAACCAGATGCATGACAAAAATGCAATTGTAAATAAGGACTACCATATTGGCTTGAATATAAGACGGCCCTGATTATAAGATGACCCCCTCTTTTTTAAGATTCAAGTTTGAAAAAATACTTTTTGAACACCAAATTAATTTTTATACAGAATAATTACAGTACATCTGAAACAAATTATTATTACACTATATTTGAGAGAAAAGGAAAGTTATTTTGCCTCATTCAATTGTTAATATCTGAACATTTAAATATGTAAACTAAAGTGCAATCACATTCGTAAATGAATGGCTTCTGGTTTTTGAAATGTAAATTACATCATAACTTCTCCTCAGCTGCCGGTTAACCTGGCCGATCTTCGACCCACTTTTCTCCAGATTGTAGCTACATTTCTCCATTTTCTGTTATCTCTTATATTATTTTCTTCTCTTTTCTTTCTTACCGCTATTTTTTATTTTTCTTCTTCGTGACATGGGTTCACTTTGGCTTGGGGAGTCAAGTTTAGCATTCGCTTCAATGATATCTGGCGCCATCTAGCGTCGTGCATGGGTATAATGTCTAGACCTCGAATATAAGACGACCCCCACTTTTTCAGTCTTATTTCAATGCAAAAAAACACCGTCTTATATTCGGGCCAATATGGTAAATAAGCGCGTATGTGCAAAATGTGTGCTTACTAGATTTCAATTTTGATCATACTTTCCTCAATGCATGTTTAAATGAGCCATTATCCCAACATGACACAAAGGGTTTTAAGCAACAACCAGTGCAAAGGGCGCCCCTGCATAAAAATTACTATTCAATGATGGTACAGAACTGCTGAACAAAAAAACACCAGGTGCAAGAACTCTTTTTTTCTTTTCCCCCCCCCCCCCCCACACACACACAAAAATAAAGTGACTCAAAATTTTTTAGCATTTTGGTACGATGTGTTTACGTCCTGTCATTCCAAATCTGCAAAAATGTATTCACATTGGAGTATTTTTAATGATGAGTGAAGAATGAATGGATAGGGAGAGGCATCAGCTGACTTTGGAGTGTACATTATTCTTCTTTGACTACCATAGTATTATTATTGATGAATTAGCAATGTTGTACAAGCAGCTAGTACAAAGATGCATAGGCTGCATTGCAACATCATTATAAATTGTATTTCTGGTTCTATTTTTAATCTGCCGTAACTGATACACTTCTGCAGTCGCATCACAAAGAGCCCCCTCAAAACTCATTTGTGGAGTCAGTACTTTAAATACCTACAGGTCTCAAGTGTCAGGTTTACGATGCAACTTCAGAAGTATACTTTCACCAGAAACATTGGTTGCGTTCAATGTCAGAGGTGTTTTACTATTGAGGTTCCTTGTAACCCAGATGGATGAGAACATGAGTTCTTCATTTATTACAACAGAAGAGACTGTAGCCCAGGGATGGGCAACTGGCGGCCTTGGCCCACAAACTTTTTTAAATTTATGGATTTATTATTAATATTAATATTTAAACAAACCACATAAAGATTGCCCCTGCATTTGATTATGAGCATTTCTATGGCTAGGTTTGAGCAAACGTCAAATAAAATGCGGCAAGCCACTTTTAAAATGACGTGATGGGCTTTAGTTTGACACATATATGAGTCTTCTTTTGACTGTTTTTGGAACGTGGGAGGAATCCGGAGAGAAGCACTGTGAGAACCTGCAAACTACATACAGGAAGGCCAAGAGTCAAACACGGAACCGCTTTACTGTGATGCAGATGTGCGAGCTAACCCACCGTGCTGCTCAATAAATGTAGTGTTATTATAGTTAATACTCCATGCATGCATGCAAATGCATGCATGGAGTGTCAGGAAGCTGATTAATGGGGCAATGCATCCTGTCTTGCATGCATAATTATGTAACAGGCCTACACATTAGCCTGACATGAAGTACTGCAGCCATAGGCCAACTGCGGTGTCAGTCAGTCTCGTCGACCAATCAGCGCGCTCGCACGGGTGCGTTTGGAAGATAAACACAGGCGAAGACACTCGTGTTGTTGACGTTACACAGACATGGCTGCGGCTGCAGCTGTTGCCCGAGACAAGTGTTACATAAAGCCGCAAATGCCACATTCACATAGACGTGCCTCAATAGTGCTCGTACAACGTCCAGATAATTGCACTCATCAGCTCCAGTAGCTGCATGCGAACCTTTAAAAAAACAATATCACATATGAGGGAGCGTTGACGTAAAGGAATGCAAAAAAAAAAAAAGCGCACCTTCTAGAATCGGATGCGTTGATATAAGCAAACAGCCGATGACTGCTTTTAATATTGTTTCAACACGCCTGAGCAATTTTAAAAAGAGATGAAATAATGTCAATCACCTGGTGACGTAATCCCCCACCTCGTCAGTTAAAAATCATCGTTAAAAGAATCGCCTCCGTCCGTCTCTCCTCTCCTGTCGGCTGCCCGCGCTCGAGTCGAGCGATGATGGCTCGCCCCCCCCCTCCCTCCCCCCGTGATGCTGGAGAGAGAGAAGCCCACTGATTGGCTGCGTTAGCGCCGCGACGAGTTCCTCTCCTCTCGCTCGGCCGCGGTGCTGTGCGTAAAGGGTCGACAAACAAGCACTCAACCAAAGCATTTTGTTTTGTTTGCCCGTAGAGGCACAATGATTGGCTGCTTGATTCACAAATATTTGTCATCCTTTAAATCCACTGGGCTTTAGTGAGATGTGTTGTTCTGTTTTTTTTTTTGGGGGGGGGGGGTTGTAATCCCGGTGGACGTGGAGAGACAATTAGCTCTTTCGAGATCCTTGGGGAAGATGTAGCATACAGGCTGCCCTCTGAACCGGATTCTCCTTAAAGGCTGTTACACAACCAGTGTGAGCCTAATGGCTGAACTTGCATGGAGATTATGTAACTTTGTAGCCTTTGCTGTAGCACCTCACAAAAAATTTGAGAGGAAGACTTATCACCTAAGTGCATGAGGCCGTTGTAGAACCACCATCAGCCATGCATCAAGTAGACATCAACTTTACTTTATAATTCAGACCGATGGACAATGTACAAGCCCAGGGAGAAGTCCTCACGTGGAGGGCCTCAATTACTTGCAGTTACCTGCCAAGGTTAGCAGTTTTGCTTTCAGTCCACAAGGAGCAATGTTTAAGATGAGAAGAAACATTCAACTTGAACTTTCTGGTTAAATAATGAATTCAATTTTAAGCATTTCCCCCCACAGCCATTATGTTTCATATTTGTTATGCACAGTGCAGGCATGGATTAATGTATGCTGACTGAAACCTGGGGGCTCACACTCAGTATGCTGCAGCCCCTCCTCCCATGAGGTCTGCAGAAGAATGAAACTGTATGAGTGCCTGTATTTGATCCAGGACGGCTACGAATGTGATCAATTGAATTGGCTTTTTCGCAATGTGTGATTTATGACCATCTATGTAAATATTGATGGTGCTGTTATTTTGTTATTTTGTACCCTACATATTGCACAACTCCACAAATTAATTTTCAATAAATTGGTCATATCATATCAAAAAGTACATACATTTTTATATATATAAAACATCTTTCCCAGAATTGAAGGTGTAATATTCCAAGAATAAAATTGCACTTCATAAATCCACTAACATAATACTTTCTTCTCTAACCTTTGACAGATCATATTACAATTTAAAGTTCAACAATAACTTGATTCTCTTCACATTACAACTTTACACCAATGACAAAACCTTTTTGAGATTACAAGTTTCTTTTCTTCACAAAATACAAATTTAATCTCACTCCCTCTCCCAAAAAATTGTAATGTTAATTTTGGGGACAATTAGGAAAACACACGTGGCAGACCCCACAAGGCACTGGGGATATGTATGCCCCTACTTTTTGGCCTGCCCTTTATGTGCCCGTTTGCTCTTTTTAGCCACGTTTTAAGACCCCTAATTTATTGCACCGGGTGGTGCTTATCTGGTCATATGTATTATAATTATGTGTATTCCAATTTGAGCCATGGGTGCCCTCTTTGTTGGATGTACCCTCTGAGCACACGTTATGTTTAATTGTCATTAGACCCTTGGAAAAATGTCTCCTCTAAATTTTGAGAACATCTGTCCCAGATTCTTCCAGTTGTAAAGTAAGGGATCACGAAAATGATTGCTCTTGATTCTTTACTATGACATGAAACAACACTAACACAATTATCAATATGTAACAATCATCAAACACAGAAGTGATGCTCATTCTTCTTCCACTAGAATGTGCTCCACCATACTTCTCAACACACGGATCTATTTGACCATACAAGGTCGTTTCTTTCGCCGGCAGATAAAATGACATGATTTAAGCATTACTGCCATGTACTTGGAACAGGTTTTGTTTGGAAAATAAATCAAAGCTCTCCAAATGCCAAAAACATCTACTTGACCAAGATTAATGGCACAGACTCCAACATTGAAGATGGACCACCATACAAGTCCATAACATGAAAAATTAGTTGACATAATTCAACATTAAAAAAAATAAAAAAAGACAATGTGAAGTTAAGTAACGATGAAAAAGTAGGGTCCTCTTTGAAAACGCTTCATGACTGGTAACAAACTGAAGATGTCCTCATTTACACCAATGGCTCCATGGTAACTCATTTTAACAAGGTGTCCCTGAGCGAACGTATAATCCCAATGCACTTCTGACTGTTACGTGTCATCCGGAGTCATCACTAAGCTTCCAAGGGGATCCTGCACCTCTGGAACGCTCTCCACTGATTTGATGCTTTCACTCTGCAAGTCATCACCAGCATCAGCCTTCCAGCTTCTCGAGGTGCTCATCTCTCTTTCTGCTTTTTTTTAAAAAACATTTTGAATGTGAAATGACACAATTATTCATGATGGCACTGATAGTTTGACAACCAACGTAGTATAAATTGAAATCTGGATTAAAAAGACATAAGTAAAACATCTGTATTAAGAGCGCAAATTTATGTGTGAGAAAATCTAAGGGAATATTCTCGGAAGACTATCTACCCAAAATAGGAAGAAAAAAATAGAGAGGAAGTGCAGATGAGAAATACTCACGTTCTTTCTCTGCAGAATTCTGTGTTTCCTGATGGAAGCTGTTTTTCATTGTTGATTGCTTCTTGGTGTTTTCCATCTAGGTCAAAACAAGAACAGAATGTCATAGTACCTGGTAATTGTAGAATTCAGTCCATTGAGACCACCGGGAGTAATTTTTGTGTCATTGTGCTTTTTAGGGGCAGTAAACCCGATTTTGGAGTATTAGAGAGACGCCAAGAATAGTTGAGTAAGTGACGCTTATTCTGGGATGAGAATAAAAAATTCACGAACCACTTTGGACAGGCAGCAAGAGTGAAAGCTTGTGAAAAAGTATTAAACTTTATGGCAATTATAATCTAAGCATACTTTCTTACCTCAGTGTACATGGTCTCTGACAGTCGATTGGAAAGTGGTCCTTTATCATCAAGCTTGCGGGTACTGTTGAAACAAACGCACCATTCAGAGATCCTTGGCACAGTTTGTATTGGCACAACAGGACCAGTAGTGACTTGATGTTTACCTTGCACCATGAATCTGTGTGGCCTCACAATCCATAGAGTTCAATGGAGTCTTTGGAATTGTCACCTGTGGAACCTTGTTTTTTATTGGCGGGTCCTGTGAATTTCCCACTTCAGTGTCTCCGCTTTTGGCTTCTTTTTGACGCTGCAGCTTTATGTACTCATACGTGCTTAGTCCTTTACACACTGTGATAATACCCATTAGAAAAGATTAATGGACATCAAATGGGAAATTTATTTTTTTTTTTTGCCTAGGAAAAAATGAGCATACTATGATTTTTTTGTCAATACCACCTGCATTGTAAAGAGGCACCAGTTAGTAATTGTAGTAGTGTGCAGTGGAACCTACAAAGACAGCGATCCAAAATGGAATCAGATACGTCTGTTGTTTACATTGACCTGGAATGCTTTGACGTCATAACTTGTATAATCTGAGTGGAATAAATCTGACTTCCCACCTCCCTGGTAGTATTAGCACTTTTCACCATTCGCAAAGTTAGCGAGTTAGCATTCACTTGTTTCATATAACAGGCATGGATACAGCAACTTTTAAGTACGCCGTCCCCTCTAATTTGGAGTGTGAAGCAGTGTATCACTAGCTAGCTGTTTTGCGATTAAAATTTCACCCTGTGACATTGACTTTTTTATGATGTAATCGCTGAAAGTTGCTTGCATAAAAACATCTTTAATGCGAGCTAATACAAAGGAGGTTAGGGTGAATGTTTTTAAAGTGGGTGGACAGATACACTTATTAGTATGCTGCCCCCTACTGGTTCGGAGCATGACACGCTAGCTTGTTTAGCAACAAAAAGCTATTAGGTGAGGGCAAAAACATTCACACTATCAAATGTGTAGAAAAGGGGAAAAACCCCATCATATTCCTTAAATTTTGCGACATATGGTGTTTTTGAATTCTCGCGATTTAATTGTTTACAAAAGTGGAGCCGCAAAGCACGTTGAGCTCATGCTAATAAAGTAAGCATCTGCTTGTTTATAGAATAGGGGTGGACACAGCCACTTTTAGTGTGCTGCCCCATATTGATTTGCAATGTGACGAGCACCACAACTGAAAGATACTTCGACTCAGCACAAAAAAACATGTTCACAAAAAAATAATAATTCATTCTATTTTAAGTTTCATGATATAGCTACTTATAAAAATCATTGGCAGGTAAGCAAGGGGTAGGTATCTCATCCTAAAGCCAATAATAAGGATGTTAGCCTTGACCCACAATAACTTTTAGTATGCTACCACCTATGGTTTGAAGTGTGTCTTCTTTATTGGGGCATCGAATAAAAATACTTTCTCTTAGGATATATTATTATTATTATTATTATTATTATTATTATTATTATTATTATTATTATTATTATTATTATTATTATTATTATTATTATTATTATTGTTATCACAAGACAAATTTACTCGAGTTTTCAATTGAGAAAGTATATGTCATTGGGACCGCTGATTTAAAGAGCTGTTTGACTTACAGAGGTAGAAATGGAAACAGAGCAGGTGCCACAGAAGCAGCAAGCACGTCAGACTCAGCATGGCACTAACAAAGGCCACTATGAGGAGACCAGCTGAACTAGTTTTTACAGGGGCTGATGGTAAAAACACCAGCCAGGTGTCGTTTGCCAGCAAACCTGCAGAAAGGTGGACATACATGCACACACGTTTGAATGAAGAAATTATCTGAACAAACAATCCATTTGTGGCCTCTATCCAATCGTGTGATGACTTACTGTGGAATTGCGGGTTGGACCGTAGGACGTTTGGATCAAGATAGTGTTGGATAAATACAAACAAGATAACAGTGACAAGCAAGCCCGCGCCGACTGCTGCAGAGGTCACGGCTGCAAAGAAGTACCTGAAAGCAACACAAGTGATCTTGTGTTTAACATCTAATTTTATTTGTGGAAATCACAGACCCAAAAACAGTACCCATGGGCTTACCTGTAGTTTCTGCCACCCACACAGTTGTTCAGCCATTTGCAGTGGTGATCAAAATCCGACACACACTTGTTGCAAATGCTACAGTGTTTCACTTTGGGCCCACTGAGGGAAGGGAACATTTTAGAACCATTAAACACTTTAAATAACAGAATAAAACCCATTAGTTAAAATCAACCAAATTTACTTCATAGTTAATTAACTACATGAAATGGATAGAGAACAGCTAGACAGCACATTTAATAAATTGAGGCAGTCCGTCTGTCCATACATAAATACATCTATCAGTCACACGCCAGCATGCATTGATAATTTTTGTTCTTGAGGGACATAATGCCTGACTGGCTTTAAGAGTCAAAATTTCGGCATGTCAAGTTGCCTCTGAGACTTCCCCTATTTCACCCAACTCCTGATTTTCCTTTGAACTTCATTGTCTCAAGATGTTACGCTGTGTATAAGTGTATATTGGTCAAGCTCCCACACTTTTCTTTTGTAAATCAACTTCAAGCAAACTATGTGAATGCAAACAGCAAAATATGTGAGCTGACTGACAGGGTGGACTATGACAGAGTGGACGTTTTTGTTTGTGAACATTTATTAAACACGTGGTGGACCTTAATTAGCAACATGATCCGATTAGCAAGCTGATTTGTACTGGTTGACAAATACATGATAATTTCTGAACGTTTTTTTATGTCAAGTGATATGACTCCACATAGTGGATGTTATGCTAATGTTAAGCTTGACTACATCCAAATACACACATAATGGCAATTTCAAAATATCGGTGTATTTATTTTCTAACCATCCACTGTTTTAAGGTCTCAGTGAAGACAAAATGGTGATCAAAATGTGACTGAAAACATCAGCGGTTTTCTAAAAGGGACAGTTACCCCATAATGACAGAGGGAACAGCAATTTCAAATTCAAAATTTTCAGTATGACTGATGAAAATGGGATATACATGATAACTTGTTTTATCAAATAACTTGCTGTAGGCAATCAAAACATTTAGATTAGATTTCATATAATCTAACCACTTACTACACACTGTAGTGAGCACAGTGTGTGTAAGACATGCCAAAATCACACATCTTAAAAATTTTGTGAAAGGCTAGCATACATACACCTTTACTTCACACAAGTAACAGTGCAAGTCTTGGATGACATGAAGCTGCACTGTGCGGTCAAAAAGTGGCATGGGGCCGGTGTACGTTTTTTTGGCCCTCACGCTGGCATCAGCTGGATCTATGGTGACCGCGGCGACATGGCTGAGCAAGTGCACCAGAAAGGCCAAACCTGTAAACTAGATGCCGCTAGAGTTAAGGAAAAGTGCTCCAATAAGACAACAACGGCACTGTTTCTACCCCATTTAGTTTTCATAGAATCGGACACAAGCAGAATTCAAGTCTGTAACAGAAGCTCATAGAAAGCCTTCCACACAAGAAAAACCTTGTCTGGCTGTGAATGCTAATTTGTGAACGGGCACGCCATCTGAGCGTCTGATGAGAGTTAAGGATACAGTGTAGAGCACGTGGTTCCAAGGCAGAGGTAGGAGGGGGATGAACATGCCAAAGGCGACCACGGCGAGGTAGTTGTACAACAGCCAGGCAATGACTTGGAAGACCTGAGGGGGCCACGTCCAACCGTTCACGCGCGGGGTCTTGGACGAGACCAGTTCGTTTCGACTGCTGCCTTGCATGGGAGCCGTGCGTCTCAACTTCCCATTAAGGACATTCATCTACACGACATAAGATTCAAATCATTAGTGATCTCCTCTCTTGACTGATCAAGGTACCAAATGATATGACCAGGACCTTGAAAGTAACATTTGCCTTCGAAACTCAGAAAAATTCAACCGAACACAAAGTGGACTTCAGGTTAAATAACTTGACACAATTTCAAGCAAAAACCAAACCTTTTTTGCCAGTGAAAATTTTAGATTTTTGCCAGGGAATGTCGTACAATGAAACATACACATTAACCTTTAAACTGCCTAATTTTACAAATTAAATGTCATATTTTGAATAATGGCAATTGTAGTGTAATATTTTAAAAATACTGAATAAATTCATTTGTCTGTCATTTATTTTGGAAAACTATAATGCAATGATTGATGTAATGATAAAATATCACCTGTACTGTAATTGAAACTTCATTACGTGGTCTGTTTGTTGTTCTAGATTTCTTATATATAATTTACACACAGTATTTATCATATATATTTACATGTAGAATTTTATTTAAAGAAAGAGAGAAAAGAAATAAAAAGTAAATAATAGTAATAATAATCTCAATTATATAATACAATAATCTAAAATACTTTAACCTTTGTAAATTTATTTGACAATATAATACATAACTTAAAAAAAACATTATTTGTTTATTCTATTTCGGTCTTTTTACGTTATGTTGAAACGATTTCAATTTAAAAAAAATCTAGACCAAAATTACATGTGGTTTACCCATCAGCAATGTTGACAAATTATGGAAGACGAATATACTCCAAAAAACATGGATCAGAAAGCCATTTACTACGAAGGTGTAATTATTAATAAAAGAGCATGCAACAATTTTAGTATGGGAGGCCCATACTGCTTCACTGTATGAGATATGCTGTACACAGAATTGCCTTGCCTATCTGTATTCACTTTTAGGGAACCAGGAATCAAATGTCTCCTGCAAAAGACAAATGAGTGAAGGTCTTAAAGTCAAAAGTGCTTATAGAGCTTAAAAAGAAAAAGAAAATAAGAAAGTAAGAAAGAATAAAAATATTTCACAACGAAGCTACATCCTTTTTTAGGTCATCTGACTCACATGTTTTGCTCAGGGCCCTTCATGCTGACACAAGGTTTTTTTTTTTACGTGCGTGTGTTTCAACCAATAATTGAGTGTTACCAAGCATTTTCAGACGTAGCAACCTAAATCAGTCTGATCACCATTTTTGCAGCATCAAATGACAAACAAAACACGTTGCGAGTTTGCCTTGAATACACACAAATTAACTTTATGCCCTGGGATACGCACAAAAGTCATGCGGGTGAATGTTTTTGCCCTTCAAATGCATTGAGAATTACTTACTTTGGTTGCGGTGTTCATACCAACTTCCGAGTCATCGATTTAAAATGAAAACAATGCACACGGCGATTGCCAGCGAGTGATTCATTTTTCACCGTGCCAAACCTCACGTCACGCTACACGGCGCCGCTAACTAAGGCTACAAGAAAAACGTGAAAACAGGTGAGATAAAAGCGCCTTTGCTGACGTCGTCGTCTCAGTGTACGCGAAGATGTTGCTTGACTTAAGTTGAAGAAACAGTTTGCTCGACGGCGCTCGCCTGCGCCATGGCAACTGTTGCGCATGCGTACTCTACCCTAATCGCCGACCTGCTCGTGTCGCGTTCATGTCCTTCACAGTCACTGGCCACGATGTGTTTGATACTCAGTCCCCACAACAATCAGATTGAACAAAGATAATCATGATCAATTTTGATTGACACTGTTTTTATTGAGGCTGTAGTTTGCAGGGGTGGAGAACTGCATCACACTGAAATGTTTACGATACTGTATTTCTGACTGAACGAGGCCACCAAAATACCTGTACTTGAAACAACCCCTAATTCAGGGTGATGCAATATAGTTCACTCCTGTAATATTACTGTACATCACACTTCAAATGATGCCACTTTAATAAACAAATTGTTCAACTAGAAATTAACAAAACAAATTACATAAAATATGCAAGGACGATATACATAATCCAGGATATAAATTCATGTCTGTTTTGTATTGTCAAATCATTAACTGTGCAGTACATAATATTCTTAACTTTGGTTTTGAATCTCTCTCTCACTGTATAGTGGGAATTTGAAAAACTTTTTTAAATTAATGAATACAATGTAATACTGGAATCAAATTTTTCCCCATAATCTGAAATAATTTGATACAATTTGAAATTTCATTACACTGTATAATAGTGACATACAGAATTTTGTCGACAAACTACAAAAACTGTTTGTCAACACAATAATGATCCATTGTGACTGATGGCATTCAAAGGTTTTTCTTAACATTTGCTATTGTGGTTGTCATTGGCAGGGTTGGAATACAGTACTGCATTTTACTGAGAAATGTTTTTAACTCTTTTCATGTAGCTAAATAGTAGAAACTCTTCAGTGTGATGCCCCACATCATTCAAAAAAAGCATCAGCAATTAACACGTTAAATTAGAAATGCATGAATGCAGACCACCAAGATACCACACGGAATATTTGAATTGTTTATCATGCTGTGTAGTTGTTCAACAAAGCTGTTCAGCTCAGGTCTGTTTTTTTTAAAATGATGTATGGATTTTCACTTTACAAAATAAAGCCCTTTTACCTGGTTCTCACTTTCCTTTCGCGTTTTGCCTATTGAAAAGTTTCCTCCATTTTTAATGATTATGAGACACTGTATGAAACCGCACAAACTGTATTTACAAACACAAGTGCAAGCATTTATTTTTACTGTTGCACTAATACAAAAAAACCCCCCAAACATCCATATAAACAAGTAACAGTCTGTACAAGTAACATTCATTGTTTCAAAGTCACAGGCTTGTGTCATGGCCACATTACTGGACGGTCCAACGTCACAGCGTCAGGTGTCGACGCAGACGAAGAACGAAATAATGAGGTCAGTTATTGGCTGGGCTCTCTGACTCCGGAGACTGCAGGAACTCGTAGGGATCGTGAACCATTTCGGACTGTGACGGGCTCCCTGTTGATCAAATAAATCCATTTAGTTGAAAGTCGAGGCAATACATCTCATTGTCAAGGCTTAAAATTGACAACATGGCTACCCAAGTGGTGCTGATCCCTCTCGGAGGCGTTGGAGAGGGACGACAGGTTGGAAGAAGGCCTGGAGCCGACTCTGTCCACCTGAGCCTCCTGAAACTCCTGCAGAAGCTTGTCAGCTTCATCAAAGTGCTGCTGGCCCTCCTCGTTTCCTGGTTCTTTCTTCACACCTTTGCCTGGAATATGGATGGCGAGAAATTAAGAAGTGCTCTTCTGGCAAAATAATACACAAACATGACCACACCGTTGTACCATAGTCTTGCACATGAGCATAACTTCAGACTTTTATGATAGTTTCTGTCCTTACAGCATCCAGTGACTTATCATCATGGACCAGATCCAACTGGCAGGTAAGAGTTCCTGTCCATGGTGAAGTAATTACCCGCACATTTCCGTTTCAATGTTCACTAATTCATCTATTGGCATTTTATTTTGTGGAACCTATTCTCAGCTATTAGCTGAAAAACTCACCTATTCACATTTTTGTGCCCTTTCTAAGATACCATGAGAAGAAAAGTCAGTGAACCCAAAATTCTGTGCATTTTATGTCTCAGCACCTGCTATTTTAAATTTGTAAGATTCACTACATTTACATGAGCTGGATAAAAAGTGCAATTGTAGACGCCGCTGCAGGAAATGTGGACAATATACCTAATGTGTTGAGCATGGATATATCAAGAGACATGTCAGGATAGTTCTTCAGGGACATGAAGTCCAACACTGAACTGCTCTCTCCAAGACCAGTGCCATCCACCATCTAAACACAAAAACAATAAGTTGAGTCAAAGCGTGGATGTCGTTTGGCTTAAATGCAACCCCACCTGCATGTCGCAGAGGCCTGTCTTGGTTTCGTCGGGTTTCAGCATCATGTTCCTCTTCTGAGAAATAAGCATCAAGGGTCACGATTGACTTACATCCAGATCGAAAAATATAGTGAGCCACATACCTGCCGGATGTGATTGGCAGCTTTCGTGTGATCGCCTCCTGTCATCTTATCCAGAAGTCCATCGACCCATCGCTTGGTGACATTTCCACAGCCCTGGACAAAGTCCAGTATGCTAAGAGTGTGGGGGGAGGAAATAGTCCACACGCTGAAATTGGTGACACTTTTATCACTAAATGTCAGTATTCTTCAATAGTGGAGACACTCCATTCTCTACCTCAGAGCACATTGTACCCCGGTTTCATCTCCATATGCTGAGCACAGCAAGTCCGACTCATCGGGTAGCAGGTCTGGAAAGACTGAGTTCTTCTGAAGGGTCTGAATGTTGTAGGCACTACTCAGGAAAGTCACTGCAATACAAAGCCAAGATTTTTAAGCTGTAAGGAAATTCAAGAGCGAGCATTTTAATATGAACCTTTGTGTCTCCTGTCGTCTTTGAAGCCTAGTGTCGTTAATCCAGGAAGAAGCTTATTTGACAGCGAACTCAAATCCACTTTGTGGGTCTCTTCTTCTGCAAAAGGGAAAACAAGTGTGGGTGTTATTTTTCTTAATTTGACATTGTGAAAATACAGTGTTGTAAAAAAAATCATTTCATACTAAAATCTCAAATTTTCCCCTCAAATGATGCATCAAAGGTTCATGTTAATTTTCTCTTTCACTTTTTCCAGGATGAAGAATGACATCCACTAGCAATGAAAAAACCTTTAGTGTGTTAGAGATCTGTGCTTACGTAGTCAAACAAGTGTGCAATGCATTTTCAAGGAAATTCAGTACAAATACACCAAATGGAGATTTGGATGTGGTGGTGGTCGAACTGACCAACAAGGGCGGACAAAGGCAAAAGGAAAGGGTGTGGTTCCATAAAATCTATAAGCGTTTTGAATATGTTGTAGGAATTTTTTTCATTCTTTTATTTTTTAACAAAAGCCTATGTTTGTCGAGAACATGTACATTCTGCAGTAACTGAGATATTCATGATATCAAATTTTTGGAATCGAACTGACCAACAAGATGTTGGAGGGAGAAAACAAGACAATGGTATCAGACCTTCTGCATCGGGATCGAGCTGATTGACGACAGTGTACACAAGAGACGTGTCGGCCTCTTTCTGCAAGTAGCCTATCTGAAAGCAATGAGCAAACCGTATCAGTGTAAACAGTGCTGATACACTGGAAGCATGTTCATATAGATTGACCACGGAAAGTACAACACCTTTGAGTTCGGCATATATCTGTTGATCCGATCTCGGGCTTCATCAGCCGAATGTTCCACCAGGGCTAGAACGTGTTCCTCGGCAGTGCTGTCAGTCAGGCTGCAGGCGTTCCCCTCTGGCTCAAAAAGGTAGCTGAAATCAATAGAAGCCACGAGATGACAGTGTTTGTCAGTTTGCCGAAATCAATTCTTCCTCCAGCAGACGTGTCGTAAATATGAAGTTAAAAAAAAACAAACAAACCTAAGGTAACTTACTTCATGTCTTTCACAGGTTGTTTCTTTGACTTTTTGGCTGATTCCACCGGCACAGGAATTATCTCCGCAGGAGGTAGATCAGCCGCAAGTTCTTCGTCTCCCAAAATGGCTGCCATGTCCTGCATGAAAGACATGCTGCGCTTCAAAACCAACAGGCGATCCTGACAACAAAAATTGGAAACATTTAACGCCATATCCATTTCCATCTGAAATAAACATTTTCATGTGTAGAGTAAAATACTCCCAAAAACAGTTGTGGATGAAATTTTAGGATGATCTACAATGCACCTTAAAATGTACATCTTAACTTGATTTGACCTCCTCCGTACTTTTGAATGCACACAGCCAAGTGTTCGGTTGACTAAGACTAGACCATGAAGCTCCTTACCTTGCTCATCATCTTAAACCCAGTATGCAGAAGTTTCTTTGCTGCCTTATAGTAGACCGTCTCTGGGCGGTTGTAAACCATGGCATTGTCACACATCAGCTTAAAGTCTGCCTAAAGAACACAATGGATTGAGACAGGCAGAAGGTAAAAACTTGATTCCAATTTGTTCGTTTTTTTTTTTTTTTGTTTTTTTTTAACCCAAGTGAGAATTTTGACCAGTGGCTCTTCTGCAAAGCCTTATCCCACCTTGAATTCTGTCACTGTGTTGTACTCATTGTTTGTAATCTTGTCTTTCATGGTGCTGAAGTCCATTGGGTGTTTGATGATCATTGAGTAATTGGGAGCAATCGCATCAGTTACTGGGAAGGCAAAGAAACCATGGGCATCTTTTCTGTGAGGACAAGACACCAAGGTTAGGGCAATCGTGCTGAGACCAATTTCTGATTGACATTGGCTGACGCGAGCCAACTTGGTCTACGTCTCTAAATAGTAGCGTTTACGCCACAGATCTAGCCCAAACGGAAAGAGTTTCTTCGGTGCACTCACCTCTGTAGCTGGCGCAGGAAGTGCTGAAGTAATAGCTGCCGAGGAGTTGACTCATTCTCTGAATTGGTGGAAAAAAAATGAAAACGTAAGCAATATCATGACACATTTTGATCTTGATTATGGCAATAACATAAGGTGGTCCTTGCCATGCTGTGTCCGACATGCTCGCACGGGCCTTTCTCCTTGGTGCTCCACTTCGACCTTCACACTGGGGTGAAATTCCTCAAATTCGGTCTCACTCTCAAACTTCTCCTTCTTCCTTTTCTTCTCTTCTGGCTGATTGATAATGTCATTTGTGTGATGATCACACTCAAAACTCAACAGAATTCAGAATAGACATGTCACCTTTATAGGGTTAAATTAGTATTCCTCACCTCTACTTTGATACTCATAGTCTTTGATATAGTAAACGGTTCGACAGGCACCCCG